ATTTCAATTATACAGATAGTTTTAACAATGCCAGGTCATTTCCTCATAACGACACTCATCTTGTCACCACGGGGAACGTTCCTTCCCGGGCAGGAGTCAACAAAGGAGGGAGACAAAGGAAAAGAGGAGGTCCGAAGACAAGCAGATTATGTATAACGTCAAAATTGTTAACTCCCCATGCCAGGTCACTGATAACCTGATAACCCCGCGCTCTTCTGGAGTTATACCGAGTGTAAAGGCTAATACTCCCCAGCGTGGCGGGTTTGCATACCCAAGGGGCTATGGCGCCTTACGGGCAGATCGGGTAGTCAAGCCCGCGACACTGTGGTATATTGCCTTTACAGACGGTACAGTACCGCACGCAAGCGGGCGGGCTTGCCTCTCGCCCCCCTCCCCCCATGGCGCCGTAGAGGCCGAGCGGTTAGGCAACCCGCCCGCACATGGGAGAGCGGTCGGTGGTAGGGTATAGCTACAGAAGTGGGCGGGGTCAATCTGCCACCTGGTCAGCCAGCGCTAGTGTTCGACATGCACAAGTCATCATAGACTGCGGGCACGACGGCCACAGTACAGTCGCGCTCGAGCCGCAACATGAGGGCGCGAGCACCACAGGCGCCAGGCCAGAGCCGGGCCCTGCAGACTGATTCCGAAGAGCGCTCAAGGGGAGCTGCCCCATGAGTGCGACAAGGATGAAGCTATACGGAAGGTAGGAGAGCGCTCTTCGGAATCAGTCGGCTGCAAACCAAAGGGACGCACAGCCCCAGCCGCGGGCGGGGCGGGGGTGGATCGATGGAGCGCTTCCCGAGCAACCCCCGAAGTCCCGCGCCAGGGCACTTCGGCTGCACTCGGCCGGGGGCCGAATCCACCCCACCCCCCACCGTCCTTTCCCCGCCCCGCCGCGGCCGCGCCGCTGCCGGGGCGCATTGATCCATCGCGGCGGGCGAGCGGGGGCCCCGCGGGGACCTGCAGCACCCGTCCCGTCCCGCCCGGGCCGCGCCCGCCACCTGAGCGGCACGGCGGGGGCTGGCCGGGGGCCCTCCAGGGTGTTTAGCCGTTTCATTAGCCCCCTCTGGCCCGGGCGGGGCGGACGACTGGCAAACCCCGTGACTCTTGCACCCCACCGGGAGCATGTCCTCCTCAACGGCGGAGTCGGATGGAAAACTTGCTCGGCGGAAAGAAATAGTGCAAACAACAAGCCGCAGAGCCGAACAAAAAATTTGAGGATGAGTAGCGGGCAGCCGTGTTTCTTCTTGTCCGGCAAGGATGTAGGAGAAAAGTTGGGAATCGAGAGCGGGGGCGGAATCCACTCCATCATTGATGTCAGGCAGGGGGAAGGGGGCAGGGTGCCGGGCTTGAGCTGGTGCACCCCCTCCCCCTCACCCCCGCCCGGGGTCGCGAGCCGCTTCGATCAATGCGCGCCAAACATAAACAAGAGCCGCCATATTGGCTGCACATTATCAAGCTTTGGCCCCGCCCGGCCCCGCCCGCAGAGGGGCGCGGGTGGCTGGTGCCCCCCAGCCTAGGAGGACAGCAGCAGCGGCAGCTCGCGGATCGGTGGTCCCGCGCGGGGGCGCGCCCGCCCGGGCTAGCCCGCGGGGCCCCGGGCGGGGGCAAGAGAAGGAAGGGGCAGTCACTACCGCCAAAACACATAAAAGAGCTCCCCGCTCCAGCCCTGCCTGCCATAGCGACGGCCAGTCTGCTGCTGGTCGATACAGTACGACGAGGGGGGCCAACACCGCGCAGCCTGCTGCCCTGAGAGCCCCAGCCTGGCCGCGGCCGGCCATTCAATGGGGTACTATGGGAACAAACTGGAACCCGAGCGCCCGAGCTTCATGCCCGTGGTTCCTACTGAACGCTAATTAGCCCACGGCGACGTCACTGTCGCGGCCGGCAAACGGGTGCGCGGGAGGAAACGGAAGTGGCGTTCGTGCTCTTACTCTTCTAGTTTCCGGTTTGTTTGAAGCGGTCCTCTATGTGGAGCAACGCTGATCACGACCAACGTCATTAACAAACGGCAGACATGATTAGGCCGACGAATGCCCATCACGAAATACTCTATGCACCAAGCCCTCTAGACCCGCATAGACCGCTGCTGACTGTGCGGCAGAGCAACACGACCCCTTCTCCACCCCACCACGCTGCTGCTGCCCCTCTCCCCAAATTCAATTTCCCTGGCGTGGCCCGGCCCTGCTGGCCCAGCCTAGCAGTGCAAATGTGCGCGCGGGCAATAAACCGGTTCCGACCGCCGGCCGGACCGAAGAGGGATCAGCGATAAATGTGAGGAGGACCCGGTGGTGTGTGTGACCACCACCGCCGGGTACCGCCGGGTACCTCCGGGCGCCGAGCCCGAGCGGGCGCAGACAGGCGAGTCCTCCCGGCCCAGGATGGCGCGACCGCCGCCAGGTGGCCAGCAGCCGGCGGGGGCGGGAGGGAGGGAGAGGAAGAGCGAGAGGGAGAGAGCGAGCGAGTCGCGTGACGATAGGCGCTGCCAGTGCGTTACGTAACGTAACGGAACACAACGCATAATGCCCGGTGCGCCTAGCGGCGCCGCGCACTGGACCTGCGCAACGGGCGGCGCAGCAGCAGCAGCAGCACAGCCAGGGGCTGGTCCAGAGAGGCGCCGCTCCCTGCTGCTGCGCTCTGCTGCCCCCGCGAGGAGGCCCCTTTCAGCCAGCCCCCGCCGCGGGGCCCCGCCCGACAGGCGTGCCAACCAACGCGCGCGCGCGCGGCCATTCCTCGACGGCGGCAGCAGCACCAGAGGAAATAAAACCCAAAAAGAAAGCAAATGGTCTCTCCCCATCTCTCTCGCTCGCTACGCCCGAACTAAAATAACCAGGCGAGCAAGGAGCGCGCATATGGCTGTCGGGATGCCGAGAAGAGAACGTGCGAGCGGCGCGCGCGGCGGCTAAAGAGCAAGTGCGGGGCGTGAGGCGTGCGGGGCGTGAGGCGTGCGGGCCGCGGGCAGGGCGCTCTCGCAGCTCTCGCACGCGCGTGCTCCGCACGCAGCCGACAGGGCCCGCGGGGGGAGACCGCGCCCACAAATATCCAACCCAACAGCCTCTCCTCCGAGATGAACACGCCACGCCGAAGCCGGTGGCACACACAACCCAAACCGGGGCCCCCCCAATGCGGCCGTTCGCAAAGGATTTGGGGGAAAGGAGGAGGAGGGGGAGGTCGTCAAGGCTGTTGGGCAGAACGGCGGCAGATTACTGACTGGCCCCCAGGATCGCCAGCAGAGCGCACGAGAATGTTGTATGATGATGTACTTTCGTTTATCATCGGGGCTTTTTCTCGTGGCGATCGCTCGATCGATGTAACGCGTTCACATTCTCGTCCGTAGGAAGAAGAGCACAGCAGCAGCAGCGGAGTCAACGCGAGCAACGAAAAACGGAAGGAAAAGGGGGGAGGAGGAGGGGCGGGCGGGGCCAATCAAAAGGCAAGCGCGGCGGCGAGAGACAAAGGCAGTAAAATAAGCAAGCGAGGCTGGCGCGCGGGCGGGGCCGGGCGGGGCGGAGTGGTCGAGGAGGTGCGGAGGGCCGTGGCGCTGGCTCTCGCGCCGCCCGACCCGCTGCGGATGGCTGGAGGGGCGCTGCCGCCGCCGCCGCCGCCATGGATCATGCCACGTCAATACGGAGCCGGGGAGACGACAGGCGCCGCCGCCGCGGACGACACCGACACCCCGCCGCCGCCGCCACCCCCGCGCGCCGGGCTAGAGCCGGGCCCGGGCCGGGTGGAGCGGCGCGCAGCGGACGGGTAGCGCCGCGGACGCCCCCTCCCCCTCCTTCCCGGTCTCCAAATTGTGAAGTGGCGCCCACCGCTGAATCGACCCTGCCCGCCGCCGCGGCGGCCGCCCGGGACCCCGGCGGCGGCGGGTAGTTCGTAGAGCGGGACGGCGAGGGGGTGGGGGGCCGGATGGTCAAATCCAAAAGCCGTTCATTCCGCTCCGTTTTCCATTCGGTTTCTGACAGCACTAGCACTGCAGTATACGCAGGCGGCAGGCGGCCCGAGCCGCGCGGAGCCGGGCCCACAGAGACCGAGGCTTGCGGCGTTGCCGCTGTGCCGCGCTGCGGTGTGGAGGGAGCGGCTGCCGAGCGCGCAGCGCGCGAGGCCAGGAGGCGGGCGGCCGGGCAGCGACGGTCTCTCTCCCTCTTTCGCGAGCCGTCCCGGGGCCCGGCTCAGGCTCAGCCCCCCCCCCTCCTTTTCCCCCAGCAGGCCCGCAGCGAGCGCGCACTCGACACTCGACCCGTTCGCTCTCCTCGTCCGATCTCGCCACCCACCCACCAGCCCATCCTGATCCTGGAGGTGCCGCGGCCACTGCCCAGCGCGCCGTCCCTGTCCCTGTCCGCCGTGTCCGCCTCACCGCCCGCAGGTGTCGCCCGGCCGGGCGGGCGGCGCGCGGGCGCGTCGCCCGCGGTGCTCTTATTTCATATTGCCGGCGCCGTGCGCCTTATCTACCCGACCCCCTCTCCCCCAGCGACAGCTTATCTCTCTCTCTCTCCCTCCTTCACTGACATTCTGCTCGTCCTCCCCACCACCTCCCCTTTCCTGCAGCTCCCCTCATTGCCTTGGCCCGGAAGTTCTGTCGGTTGGACAGGACACGCCACGTCGTCGTCTCCCCGCCCTCCTCTCTCTCTCTCTGGGGGATACTCGTGCTCGAGTTCTCACGCGCGGCCCGGTCGGCCCCAACTCGGCGGCCTCCTCCTGGCTCGGACTCGCCTCAAGAGAAAACTCTAGTGTGCGAGCGGGGAGCGGGGACGGCCGGGTCGCGCTGCCCATTATCCCCCGGCAGTTCGGCTCGGCATGAGTAAGTGGCGGTCGGTCTGGCCTGGCCGCCGCCGGGGCGGCCGCACCTCGAGCGAACGGCACACCACTACGGCCCGCAAAAGTGGACGGCGGCGGCAGCAGCAGCAGCAACACTTCACCACCGACCGACGAGTACCCGTCGAGCCGAGCACCGCCCGCCCTCTCGCCCTTCTATACGCCGCGCTCTTTTTATTTATCGACATGATTATTGCCAGGGCGGGACGTGAATAAATTATGCTTCATTTGTTGGCGAGGCAGCCGGCGATGGTGGTGGTGCTGCCCCCGCCCGCCCCGCCCGGGCTCCTCCCCCTCTCAGACACGGCGGAGGAGGGAAGCGAGCAGCGAGCAGGGTCGGCGACTTCGTGTCACCTTCATCACGTTATGCCGCTCCATTCCCCTCTCGCATTTCAGAACGCGCAGCGCCACGCCACGCCACGTAAAAGGGGGGCGGGAGGGAGACACATCCAAAGCGTTGTGCTATGTGCTCCGCTCGCACGAGTCGAGTCTGCCAGCAAGCTGCTAACACGATGGATGCGATTTTCACCCGTTTCTGTTTCCGGGCGGCCCTCGGGGGCAGCCGTCCGACCTCCAGGAGTGGCCAACAACGCGCGAGTCTGTGTCCACCCCGAGAGCCAGCGCAGAGCGGTAGGACCCGAAGGCATCTCGGCCGCTCGCAGCCCAAACCCTCGAGCCTTTTTATTATTTCCGTTTGCCCCGGGGCCGTTGCCGGGCAAGACAAAACACACACACACTGGTCGCGCTCCAACCGCCAGTCCCGGCAACGGGCAAACTTTCCGACCCAGCGTGCCCACCCCTCCGCCAAAAAGTTCTTTTAATTTGGAGATTTTCCAACGATCCGGCAACAACGAGATGGGAAGGTGACGCACGGGGAAGGGCCGGGCCGGGTCAGCCAGCGCCCGTTGTTAGCACCTCCATAAAATGGCGCGGTGGGGCAGGTGTCGCGTGTGTGTGTGGTGCGCAGGTACTCACCGCTGAGGATGTGCTGGTGCGTGTTGTAGACGAGGGGCACCGAATGCAGGACCCGCGCCGACCACCGCTTGTGACGGCTGTCGTCGTCATCGTCGCTGGCCCGCCCGCCATCCTCGCCGAGAAAGTGCACCTTCTCGTACCGGTCGAGGTACCTGTGTGGACAAGAACAAAGAGATTCACAGTTAGACGCCGGCATGTGCGCGAGTGCGTGTATTGTCCGTCACACGCCTCCTTCCTTTCTTCCCACCGGCCAGAAGTCCGCCCGGCGTGCCGAGGGTAGGCATCGCGCTCGGCAGGCGAGCCGAGCGGGTGGCCTGCACACCGTGCAGATGGCCCCGCTCCCTCTACAAGTCCTCCGCGAGAGACCCGGTGACTGACAGTCGTCGCAGGGCGGGTAATGCATGGCTCTTGACGTCGTCAGCCGGCTGATTCCGCAGGGCGTTTGGTCCTAGCCCCTCTCTCGCGCGCGCCTAAGGGATCGTCCAAAAACTACGTCCGGTTTTCTGGAGATTCATTCGGTAACTTTAAGGGGGCTCGGCGCCTACGAGACTCGTGTTAGGCCACTCCGCAGTACACGTATGCTAAGCGAGCAAGATGTTGCCTACCTACCAGGCGCTACGAGAGCGTGAACGGGACTGAACGGACTGAACTTCCGCAACGGCGGGCGAGCATACAGGACGACCCCTAAGCGGTAACGGTGGTGTCTGGTGTCTAGTCCATACGCGTAAGCGATTTTCCGAATCAGTCAGTTTGGGCGCCGCTCACGGGGCGACAGAGGGGCCGCCGGCCGCCGCCGTGTGGCATCCACGCGCCGCTGCCCCGGCCAGGCCGCCGCGGGGCACCGTCGACTACCACAACACAACGCCTGCCTCCTCGGGCCCCGCAGCGCCCCGCCGGCCCGCCATGGGCCCCCGCGGGGTGGGGAGCGGTGGGGTGGCGGAGGTGGGCGGGGCGGGGGTCCGCGACTTACGCTACT